CTTTGAGAGCCGGAGAGTTTAGCAAGACTCTGCTGGTGTCAGGCCAGAGAGGCCCTGCTGGGCCCCCAGGAATGCCCGCTGCCCAGTGGGTGCCAACTCAGCCTGGGAGCTGGCCCTCACTGGTGGTGGGTACCAGCCCCCCGGGCTGCACATAGCCTCTTTCTGGGGTCCCTGTCTTCCCTGCCCCCCAGCTAAAGGGATGGTCCTGATCTCAAAGTAACAATGCACTTGGGGCTCCAATAAAAGGTGCTAAGCCCAGACTCCCCCAGCCATCAGCTGTGGCACTACCGAGCACCTCCCCTCGGGGCCCCTGTTGGTGCAAGTGAGTGAGATTCAAGTCATCCTACCAGGGGATAGGAGTTCAGGGTAGAGGCCTGGGTACAGGGTGGACACAGTGATCAGGCCTTGGGGCTGCATCTCCCAAAAGGCAGAAAGCAGACACCTGGCACATCCTACCCACAGATGGACAGACAGACAAATTCCTTCCCTCCATGCCACCCAGGAGACTCTGGGCAGTGAAGTCCCAGGAAAATGAAGGAGGGGGGCAGCCCTTGGGCTTCTCAGTGGGTGTGGGAGTTGGGGCCTGGATAGGGCTACTGTCCTGAGCAAATGGTCTTGGATTGGGAGGGGAAGGGGGCCCAGCTCTCACCTCGGATGCCTCTGCGAATGCGGGGACACGGACTGAATAGCTCCCGCAGAGTCACAGGATTCCCCGAGGACCCCTCGCGCAGCCCCACCAGCTCTTCCATCAGGTCCCTGGTGGAGCAAACAGATGAACAGACCCTTTGTGAGCTGCTCCCACCAACTTACCCTGCCACTTGCTCTGTCCAATAGTGCTGTTTCCCAGAAAAGAGAAAGGACGAGTCTCCGTGTGTGTGTGTGTGTGTGTGTGTGTGTGTGTGTGTGAAGTCACCCACTCAGAAGGGGACATGGGTCTAGGGGTGCCCTCATCACTGAGGTGGTGTTCACGTGTGTGTAGATGTGCAGGTTAGGTGGGGGCGGTGGTGTGCTCAAGGTCCAGTGGCAGCTTGGTCACAGGCAGGATCCCTGGTCTCAGATCCCCTGCCCCCCTTCTACAGCCACCGCTCCCATCTCCTGGGTGCTTGGCTGCTTCTACTGCTCAGAGCAGTCTCTTTGCCTAGGGGATGTCGTTTTCTCACTGTGGGGTGCTCTGACTCCCTGTGGACTGCTCTGACTCCCCATGCCCACCCCTGAACCCTCCTCTCAGGCTGCAGAGGTGGAAATACCCAAAAGGAGACCCTGTGAGGGTGAAAGTGGGGTGCTGGCTCCCCGCCCCCTGCACTCCTGCCCTGGCCTTGGCAGGTCCCATCTGAGTCCCCGCCCCAGCTCCGCGCCCAGCAGCCCCTCACCTCTGCCAGTCCGCCCTGCGGTGGCCCCAGCCGGCCCTCTTCTAACAGAGATTCCTTTGCTCCAGCTCAGGTGCACCGGACAGGTGTGAGCTCCACCAATCAACATCCTTCCCCTCTCGCCCCCCTCCCCGGGTTTACTGTGGCCATTTAGAATGTCCTTGACAAATCACCCAGAACTGCCCAGGCCGGCTGAGCTGTGCAGGGCAGAGTAGACAGGAGGGTGCAGGGTGCAGGGGCACCCCCAGCCCACGGGAGCCCCACTGCACTGCAGGCTCCTGGTGCTGTGGGGTGGGGCCTGGGAGGGCAGTTCACGCGCACAGTAGGACAGTAAGGGTTCTGGATTCTCGGAGCTGGGCATGGAAGGGGTTTGAAAAAGCAGAGGAGGGAGGGGGAGACCACCCACACCAGCAAGAGAAAGGACACGGGCAAAGAGGAATGGGGCCTATTATCCCTGCACCTTCTGTGTGCCAGGCACTATGCCCAACCCACCCCACAGTTACCAAGAGTGCCCACGGAAACCCACTGAGGCCGACAGTATTATCCTATTTTAAAGAAGCAGAGTTTCAGAGCCTGATTCCCACCCAGGTTTGCCTGACTCCAAACCTGTACACTCTGCTCCATGTTCCTGCCTTGGTGATTCGTCTCGTTCAAGGGTGGCGACGAGGCCAATGAGCTGGAGCAAGGTCAGAAAACTGGGGCTGCCAGAGGCCTCCAAGACCTGCTGAGGAGCTAGGAGTTGATCCTCCTGTACAGCCCTTCCCATCTCAGAAAAAAAATTGCCTTTGAATTGACTCCGACTAATGGTGATCCTGTGTGTGTCAGAGTAGAACCATGCTCCATAGGTTTTTCAATAGCTGATTTTTCAGGTATAGGTCACCAGGCCTTTCTTCCAAGGCACCTCTGGGTAGACTTAAACCTCCAACCTTTAGGTTAACAGCAGAGCAAGTTAACCGTTTGCACCTCCCATGGACTCACCATCTCAGAAAACTGCAACGCCCGAGGGGCAGCGGCTCTGGCTAGGAGCTTCATGATATATGCCACCGACTGTGTCACCCCAACAGAGGTTAGGAGCATGGGCATCAGTGGGACATGGCGAGGGAACAAGCATATGTTGCCAGCTCCATGCCAGATGCTTTACATTTGAGACACCATTGTTAGCTGGAAACAACATCACTGTTTTGCAGATGGTGGATGGAGAATCAGAGAGGTGCAGTTACTTGTCTGAAGTCACAGCAGAGGCTGAACCCAGACCTGAACTGTGAGGGTTTGCCCCTCCCCAAAGCTCCTCTAGCTCCTGTGGCTTAATCAGTCAGGGTAATGGTCTGGGTACAAAGCAGAGGATTGGTGTCTGATGCCACCCTTGGGAGATTTGGGCAAGAGATTTACTACCCACCACCCCCAAGACAGAGCTCCCCTCTGAAAACCAGGATGGCCCTTCAACGACTTGTTAAAATTCTGGGAACCTGAGCCCTGAACCAATCCCTGCCCGTAGACACCAGACTAAGTCTTCAATTTAAAATAGGAACGTGTGTGTGTGTGTGTGTGTGTGTGTGTGTGTGTGTGTGT